CCAAAATCATCCAAAGCTGCCCTCCCTGTGAATTATGAGATGTGTATTAATAAGGCATGTTTTAGAGTCATTTTGTAACCCCAGAACACTTAGTCTGTTTTACTCTACCATTAGTTATTGACAAGTGTAAGTGCCTGTAGTCAGAGACCACCAGGAGCATACCTGTAGTTGAACAAATTGGATTTATTACTCGTCGTAAGCAAAGAACACAGACCATAGGGAACCACGGGGTATCTCAGTAAGAGGACGTTATAAAGGTTATATTATAGGATTTGGACTTTGGGTAATTGAGGTAAGGGTTCAAAGAAGTGAGGTCTATCACTCTTTTAGCATAAGAGAGATGTTTGGTATTTTGTAGGTTTTGCAGGACCTTGTTTTTGTTTCACGTCATCGTGATCTCAGAATGACTTAATTTGATACAGATGTTCAGTGAGATTGTCCAACAGGAGAACAACATGGTTTAGCTGTAAATGTCGGATCAGTTTTTAATAACATGGAGGCTTAGCTGTGAGCCTCAGATTAGTTCTCAGAGATCAGCAACTGCTTCACCTCCCCCCCCCACCCCCCGCCCCGCAATAGCATTTAAGTCCAACTGGCTTCGCACTATGTAGGGACCAGCTGGGGGAGGTCAGGATTTAATAGCAGTGACCTGTTGGGTCTGTCACTTGAACAAGCTGCGGTGATACTGACAGGTATATTTTTACAAAGCAGAGCAGTTGGGAATCATGCCAGTTTTCAGCTGGCTAGAAGTAATTACAGTTTTCCCCCACTATCCTAAAGTAGGTCTCAGCTTGCCAACGGATGCACAAAATAAATCGAGACAAAGTGCAGGTGCTCGCAGACTACCATGGCTTGCTGCTGAGATGCTGAGTGTAGTTCCTAGGGAAGGGGCTTGGTGGCGCCACTCTTGTTGCTCAGGGTGTCCACTGCCTCTATCTCGGTTTTGCTGCAAAACAAATGCTTTCTGCCTTTTTTTTGCAAAAGCAGAAATTCTCTTTGGATTTCTTTCTGTTAGCAAAAACAGGTACAAGCATACCTTGTTTTATTGTACTTCGTTTTGTTGCACTTCACAGATAGTGCATTTTTCACAAATTGAAGGTTTGTGGCAATCCTGTTTCAGGCAAGCGTGTTAGCGCCATTTTCCAATAGCGTTAATTTTTAATTAAGGTAGGTACATTTTTTTAAGACATACTGTTACTGCGCACTTAATAGATACAGTATGTGTAAATACAACTTAAGTACTGGGAAACCAGAAATTCATGTGAATTGCTTTATTGCAATATTTGCTTAATTGTGGTGGTCTGGAACCGAACCCACAGTATCTTGGAGGTATGTCTGTACTAATGTAGATCTTTCATAAAAGCAAAGTGGTGTAAAGCGAACTTTGGAAAAGCACGGGGTACCTTTAGTGGGTAAAAACATGTCCTTTTTAAGAAATAAGATGAGTCAGTTTTGCTTCATTAATCTCTCTGGGGATCTTAGGGTTTATTTTACTAAATTTAGTGTCTAGGAATTACTTTTTCATACTTTAGGAGTTCTTTATATCTGGGAAGAGTCAACTGTTTATTTTCTCTGTTGTCTTTGTTATTATAATACATAGCAGTATACACCAAAGGGATTTTAAAGGTTTTTAAGACTATGAACACTGTTTAAAAAAGCCTTACAGTTAATAATTATAATAATTGTAAAATTCTTTATGAACTCTCAGGTTGACTTAAGGCAAAAAAAAGGACCATGTTTTGAAACTCCACTCTGTAGTTTATTCATGTGCATCAAAGATCACTGAGAAGAAATGTATATTTATTCATTTATTTAAGTAATTGCTGTGCACTGTGTGCCAAGCTAGGTGCCAGGCCCTGGGTATGGAGAAGGGAGTCAAGCACTTATTCTTGCCTTCATGAGCAATACAAGTGATAGCTGGAGATTTTTGGTTTCAAAGCATCACTTTTAATGGTATCTTAATTTCATATACTAAAGTAAGCATTGTATTATTGTATTATAGTGCATAGAAAAATATCCCTATGATTAATGAGGTAGTTCTTACCATTTTTGTGATTTTGAAAGTGGTAGCTTTTAAAAATCATGTATTTGTGGAGCATCTGCTCATGCAAGTCTGGAGATAATTTTTTTTAAATGTGAAGGTTTTCAGAACAAAATTTGTCTCCTAGGAAACTGCAAGATAGGCTTCTTCTGTTGAATCTTTACCTTGAATAATAAACTGGGAGGATTCTTTTTTTTTTTTTTTTTTTTTTTTTTTTTGCGGTATGCGGGCCTCTCACTCTTGTGGCCTCTCCCGTTGCGGAGCACAGGCCATGGCTCATGGGCCCAGCCGCTCCACGGCATGGGGGATCTTCCCGGACCGGGGCACGAACCCGTGTCCCCTGCATCGGCAGGCAGACTCTCAACCACTGTGCCACCAGGGAAGCCCTGGGAGTATTCTTAATACTGAATCTTTTTGTCATTTGGTAAAAACTGAGTAAGTTTTTATACTAGAAAAGTTAGGTTTGTAATTAAGACTTGACTATGGGTACTTATTAAAAGTATAGAGCATATTAAGATAGTGTCACATGATTAGAGAATTCAAAATGTCTAGCTCCATTAGACAAGACACACTAGAGGCAAACCAGTCTCTTTATGTGGTACTACTAGTTTTGCCATTGGTCTATAGAATTTTCCTGTAGAAATAAAGAATATAATCATATTTTGTCATTGAAATCTTCATGATAGCTTTGAATGTTTATGAGAATCTCAAAAACCTTTAAGAAAGGATTTAGATTGCAAAACTTTTGAACTCTTGATGCTTTTAGTAGAGCAGTAGTAGCATTAGAATATGGTTGATTTGGGCCAAATGTAGACGCTAGAATACATCTTCATGTAATTTAGGCACAAAGGTTTGTGGTACATTCTCTTGATTTAAAGTGTCCAGATAAGGTTTTGTAATTTAAAATTAAATCTATCTAGGCAGCAACCCATTTTCATGATCCCCACAAAACTCACTTTTCCTATTATTTACTGTAACCAGTAGACTTGCATCTATGTTTTCTTTGTAACTATCCACTTACCATAAGGGTTGTTGTGAAATAGTACCAGTTTACTATGTCTTTTTATAGTCAATGATGAGTGCAAGTCTGTTTGTAATGTGTCATTTTTTTTTCTATAAAAAGGGAGGGGTGAATTTTCTGTTTGTGTATTGCTACCTTTAAAATATAGGAGAATACAGGAATTCCCTGGTGGTCCAGTGGTTAGGACTCTGCACTTCCACTGCAGGGGGCATGGGTTCAATCCCTGGTCGGGGAACTAAGATCCTGCATGCCACGCGGCACGGCCAAAAAAATTTTTCCTTTTAAAATAAAGTATAGGAGAATATAGTGTAATTGCTGTTTACAGTGGTTAAGTGACAAGGAAGAAGAAATCATTAATGTTGTCGAACCTCTTCTCCAGCTGCTCCAAAATTCTGGCTACAGTCATAGTTTCTACTTGGGCAATCTTTGTTTTTTCGTCTGGGGTACTTTAAACATTACTCATCTGAGAGCAGCAGGTATGGCTTTGAATCCCAGCTCTGCTGTTGGGCAGGTCAATCTCTCTCAGTATGCGCTTCCTCCTCTGTAAAGTGGAGCTAATGGTACCTACCTCACAGGGTTGTTGTGAGGGTCCCAGAAGTACACAGAAGAAGGCACTTCTCATGTTGTAGGCATGAAGTAAATGTTGCTTAAGTCATATATGTGCTAGGCAAGATGCAAAAAGCATGGAGGGTGTAAAGAAAGTAACACATTTAAGTTTATTTGGTTTAAGAGGAAGTTGGAATTGATTAGGAAAGATATTATAAAGGGTTCATTTAAGAGGAGATTACTAGATCAAGAATTGGGATGGGTTGTCATATGATTATCCTATTTCAGTAGTGATTCTTAGGTTTAGATGTGTCATTGATAAAATTAATTGTATTGTAAGCCACATTTAAATAAATAACATTATATTGAAATGGAACTATGACTTATTTTTTAAAGCTTTATTTTTATAAGTCCTCATACTTTATTTCCACTGTCATCTCAGAATCACAGCGTTACCTTAAGGCAATAATTCACTCCCACCATTCCCCATGCACTGTCCCCAAAGTTCTGTTCCTTTTTTTGGTTGCTTGCTTGTTTGGTGTTTGAATAGATAATACGTTTGAATCTTTCCTGAGAATCACTAGCTGTTTTTTTGAGTTCTAGTTAGGTAGATTCATATTTGGTGAATATAAGATATACTAAGTTATTCTATAGATGCAGCAGAATTTTCTTTCCGTTGCTACTTTTTACTAGGTTTATAATATCTTGAAAGGATATAACGGCCAAAAAAATGATAGATCTCTGCAGTGTGAGTTATTTGGGCATTTTAAATAGACATTTTAAGTTAGATCAAAATCACATACTCCATTTCTAGCAATGCAGTCACATTATAAGTTCTTATTTCTGTTTTTCTTCAGTCTTTGATTTTCTCCTTATATAGTTGCCTTTTCTAAAAATGAGTAGTAAAAGAAAAATCATTCTTCAAGCACAGTTAAGGTTGAGAAACCTTCACTCTGCCACATTACTTTGATTTTGTGTTTGGTATGAAGGCTGAAGATGAGAATTAAAGACCAGAAACTGAGAACTTTGTGGTCCCACACACCCCAACATCACATTGGTCCCACAGAGCACAGACAGGCAGCGTTGCTGCAGATAACCTGGTTAACCGGCATTCTCCCTCTGGGAGACACTGATGACACAACTTAGTGTGGTTGACTGGCAAAGAAATGTATAAACTGCGGTCATACGTCTACACAAATGTGTTCAGAATACAACCAAGAGACTGAAGCCCGCTCTCAGTGTGTATCTTTCCAGAAGTGCTCTCACTAGTTCAAATGGGTTTGCGTTGATTTTTCCACATCGTGTCCTGTCACCGGAAGGATGGCAGATGATGAGCACAGATGCAGGCTGACCTCATGACAGCTACTGACCTGTATGTGGTATCACTTGCAGCCCTGGCTTTATTAGCAGCACCATTTCCTAACCAACCAAGCTGAAGACCACATGCAACATTTTAAGATGCATTCTTTTCATCAGTCATGCATGACGACAAGTATATTCTGTGTATCACGTGGAAGTGAGATTTGGAGAGAACTGTAATGTCTGGATTCACACATTCCTACCATGTGCCACATGGAAGGCTGAGATCTATTATGATGCATCAGTGTTGGGGGCATGGAGGGGTGGAAAGGTAAGGAAAGAATTGGGTAGGATTAATGTTGAAGATGTTTTCTTGAGAATTTTCTGCCTTTTACAAGGGTAATAAACACTCATAAAAAGTTCAAACACTTAGAAGTAACAAGTCAGTGTCTTGCCCTCCCTGTTTCCAATCTCACATTCAGAGGTCATCACTGTTCCATTAATAGTTTGGTGTGAATGTTTCTACAACTCTTACGCGTATACAAAAAGAAATTTTTTTTAAAAACCTACTGAAATGGGATTATACTACATATATTCTTCTGCTGTTTGCTTTTCTCACAACACAGTATATCATGATCATTCTTCCGTGTCATTACTATTCCAGTCTTTTTAAAGTAACTGCTCTATAACATTACATAGCATGTATCTACCATAGCTTATTTTACCATTCTCAATGACAGACATTTAGGATCTGCAAGAAGTTTTACAAAGACAAAGTTGTTCACTAAGCTTTATTGTACCTTTATATTTGTTCCCACTTAAGTAAATTTTCCTTTAGGATAGAATCCTAGCAGTAAACTTGATGGATCAGAGCATGACCATTCAAACTTTTGGAAGCTACTTCTGAGTTGTCCTCACCATCCTGGAGTCATTAACGATAAACTTTAAGAATGTTGTGATCCAGCCAGAAATTCTAGAGATACTGTAGGCTTAACATTTGAGGAAATTTCCACCATTTAAAAATGTAAGCTTATTTTTTAAAATTTATAAAGAACATGCACATATGGTAAAATATTTTCTCCAGCACCATAGAGGGATGGAATGTGGATAATCCTTTTAAGCTCATTTGTTATTGCCCGTGGTTACCATCAGAATTTAAAATATTTCTTGGTATACCTACCTGACACAGTGTCTCTTTACTACCTATCATGAAAGGTGAAGAGTTTCAAGTAATTACACCACCAGCCTTGCCTTCTACCTTCTGGGCTTTGTTATGAATTGTAGTCGTTTTGATAGTTTCCCATATAGCTTTAAATGTTCTTAGTTCTTTATTTTTGGGGGCCACCAACTTTAGGCAGTGTTCCTTGACTCACTGTTACGTTACCTAAGGAAATCTATGCCCCTCAATATCTTTTCTACTTTTCTCCCTTTTATCTCTCCAAGGATTTTTAACCAAGGTTTCAGTTCTAAAAAAAAAAAAAATGAAACCAATAAGTAGAATTTTGAATATGAATGAGCCTTTTGACCTCAGAAACAAGTAGTATAAGCAGGTTTATAATAAACTCTGTGGCAGTTAAAAGTTGTCCTACTTGAAGATTATCAAGATCAAGTGAGACTCTGTTTTCTTAAATCGATTGTCCTATAAACTGTTGAAAGTAATGCCATAATTAAGTTTGCTTTAGTTTTTCTTATAATTTGTAATTACTTTCCCTTCTTTCTTAATGGCACTAAAAGCCTTTATCGTAGCAAGTTTTTAAGTTTTAATTTTGCAATTATAGTAAATGCATTTTATTTTTATTTTTGAAGATATCCTTCACCTGGTTCTCTGACTTCCTGCTCTAATTTGGACTGATTGTCTTCTGTGCCTGTGACCGCAGTCATACTGGGATTTCTTTGCCTTCCCCTGTTAAGTCCACTCTGTTTTGTTTTTGTTTTTCAATTTAGGTAAAAATATACTCCCCCCCCTCCCCCCCTCCCGAAACAGTGCTTGAGAGGTAAATTTCAAAATTCTGACGTCTGGAGAGGTCTATAATTTGCCATCATCCTTGACTCATAGTTTGGGTTTCAGATTCTAGGTGTGGAATTCTTTTCCCTCAGGATTTTGAAGGCTTCCACTATCTTCTGTCAGTTCTGCTGATGAGAAGTCACATGCTATTCCAGTTCTCATTATTTTGTTTGTACCCTAGTTTTCCCTTCTGCATGTTTTTTAAATGATCTCTTTTTTTCTGTGGACTTACTATTTTTACTGTGAGTATAGGTATAAGATTTTAAACTTCATCTTCATTGGCTCACTTTGATCTACAATCTCAAATCTTTATTCTAGTCAAAGGGTTTTTCTTTGATTATCATTTCGTACTGTCTCTGCTTGTATTATGGAACTTGATATACGAATGTTGGACCTCTTGGAGCTATCTACCGTGTATTACCTCTTTCATATTTTCTGTTTCCATCTTTTGCTCCAAGTATTGGGAGATTTCTTCTATTTTATCTTCCAGAATATGATCTTCAGTCATGCCCAATCTGTTATTCAGCCCTTCTGATGAAATTTTTATTTTATCCACTGCCGTGTTTAATTTCCAGGACCCCCTAGTGGTTCTCTGTTCTTTTCACTTTTCATGGTGGCCTGTTTTGTTGTTTGTTTTTTTGAAATGCACATACCCTTTAAAACTTTTAACATAGTAATCGAGGTGTGTGTGTATGAGTGTATATGTGTGTTTGGTTTGGTTGAGTCTGTTCCTATTTGTTTTCCCTAGAATCACTTAATCTGTTTCTTTTTCCTGGTCTTTCTCTTCCCTCCTGTTTGATTTTTCTCAAATGTCCAGTGATCCTTGGCCAAATATTTGAATGAAGATTTGTGTTGGTTAGTATAAGTAGCTGTTTTTCATTTCTTTTGCAGTTGAGTAAGTCCACTGGCCCAAAGGACTCTCTGCTCAATAATAGACCTCGCTGTGGACTCTGTGTGCGTGTGCGTGTGTGTATGCGTGTGCGCGTGTGTAGTGAGCTGTGTGGGGAAGGACAGTCTTGGAGTAAACGGGCACCTGCCACAATTGCCAAAGTAAGAAAGTAAGTGTGTTGTATTCTGAGATGCAGTGCTCAGTTTATTTCACCCTTGGGTGGATGGAACTACCCTCCTTTCTCCCCTTTCCCCCTCTCCTTTCCTCCTCCTCTCCTGTCTCATCTCCCCTCCTCTTTCCTTCTTTCTCTGCTCTCCCTTCTCCTTTCCTTCCTCCAGGGTCATAGTGTGGCATTGGCACAAGCTTTGTGCTGCTTTTCCCTCCAGCCTTAAGTCCTGTTTGGGGATTTCTTCCCAGACTTACTATTGCTTTGTTTTAGAAAGCCGTTGTCTGGCTTTAGCTGAGTGCAGCTGTTCTATATAAATGGGAAGGCAGGAGGAGGGGCCTGGACAAGTTGCTCTGTGGAGAGTTCTGTAATTACCCTCATTACAGCATCACAGCCTTTGTCACTGAGCTGTCCAGGAGCCTAGAGTCTTTTTAAGGCCCCAGCAGCCCTTTGTGTATTTTGTGTTTTATTTCTGTGCTATGGTTTATTCATCACTGAGCCCATCTAATTTTGGAGAATTGCCCACATTTAGGTTGAAGTTTTTTGAAATTTTCGTAATGTTTGTGGTCAGCGAGAGTCGTGGGAAATAAGTGCATCCACTGTAAATCTTTCAGAGTAATTTAGGAAGGGGCTTGCATACATAATTTAACTTAGTAGTAAAATCATGATTTATTCCAAGACTCAATTCCTTCTTCACATTAGTGACCTTGAGACAGTTTCCCTTACCTCTCTCCTGGTATTCTTCCTACTTCTGTCATTTCTCCATTTCTTAAGAAATATTATACATTTAAATTTTTAATCATGTATTTCTAGTTTAAGGTAATCCATGGCATTTAGGGGAATTTAGAGTAAGTGATCAATTAAAATAACTGAAAGACACTTGAGTTAAACCTAATATTTTTCCTGTAGGTTTCTTTTTTCCTAGAAATGTGTTAATAAAAATAGAAAAAAATGTAGAGAGAATTTTCAAATATTTACTTAATAAATATTTTTAAAAAGTGATTGGTTTTATCTCAGTATTGGAGACTGCCATTTAGTCTAGCGGAATTAACAGTATTATATGTCATCAGAAGTATTACCTGTCTTTCTTAGTTACTTAAAACACAGTCAAAATAATATAATAAAGGCAGTGATGGCCCCCATTGTAGGTTTTCCAGTTCTCAGAGAGAAATGGCGTTAGATCAAGTCTAATACTTAGGTTGGATGTTGGTAATTAGAACTCTGTGTTCTTTTTACCTTGGGTCACTTGAAGACTGAAATTTAGCGAAGTCTTAAGAAGTCTCACTTGTGGGACGTACTTTCAAATCGAGCCATTTTCTGCTATCCCATACTCTGTTCATGGTAATGACAGCTCTTGCTCTTAGCTCTACATGGAAATCTCTGTCCTTATGGTGAGCTTTTTCAGGGCAGAGATTGGATCAAAACAAGAGTTCTTAAAATTTGACTATTCAAAATGTGTGCTAGGCATGATGATAAGTGCTTCATACCTTTCATTTAATTCCTGAAACAATCCAATGATTGAGTAGTCCATTTTACACATGGAAATATAAAGGCTTAGCAAGTGTTAAGTAAATTATATAAGATGGTAAATGACATTTGAGGTTTAAACAGATCAAGTTCACTTCAAATCTTTTTACTAATAACCATTGTATAGCACATGAGCACTAAACATAGTACCTACATGAATTAAATTATATTTAACATATCCTTTCCTTGATTCCAAATAAAACTGTTCTGACACTGTACCTGTGCGCCTGTTGGACAAAGCTCACTTTGTCTCGTGGTTATTTCTTCCAGAGGGAGGGAGTATATGGTAGATTGTAGGTGGAGATGAGAATTTTTGTGATTCACGACGCTGCTCAGAGAGGAGGGCAAACTAAAACACTGATCTGTTTTTCCTAAGAACACAATTTTGGTTTTTTGGTTTTTTGCCTCTGGGCTTTTCATCATACATTCATTCATTCATTCAACAAAGTACAAGAAGATGGCAGATTTTAAAACACCTCCACGAGGGAATAATGGTATTTTTTATAATATGTTAAGTTTAATTTGAGCTGGTTTGGATTTTCACATTTCCTAATCAGTATTACTTGGTTTCCACATTTCTGGAACGGTCAAACATTTTTCTTCTTTCTGAGATTTATGGGCAGAATTTTGAAAATTTATTATACGTCTTCATTTCATTTATAATGAGGCTTCGGCTGGATTCAGAATTCTAGATTCAAAGTTTCTCCTCCACGTTAGCACTATCAAGATTTTGTTCCTCTGTCTTCTTGCTGCCAGTGTTTTGATGAGTATTATGGTGGTTGTGGAATGGCCCTCAGTTGGGTTTTAGCTGATATTTTTCTCATGATTGGTTTTGGTTTTATGGGATTTGGGGAGGTAGATCACAGAGGTGAAGTGCCATTTTTATCACATCAGAGCAAGAGGGTGTATGATAGCATCAACATGACTTGATGTTGACTTTGGTCAACAGGTTGAAGCAGTGTTTGTCAGAGTTCTCCAGTGTAAGGCTACTCTTTCTCCCCCTCTCCATATAGTTCTCTTTGAAAGGAAGTCGTGAAGCACAGCCCACACCAGAGGGGTTGGGAATTATGCTCCACATCCTTGAGGGTGAACCTAAGTTATTTGGAATTTTCACGTATGAGAAATTCAGCTCTTCTCCCCCTTTTATTGATTATTTATTTATATCAGTATGGGCTAATGAATATTTTATTGGAATATGTTTTCACTATGATGGAAACTAGATAATAGGACCAGCTCCCAGTTGAGGTTTTCTCCATTATCTTATTTCTGCTTTGAAACAGAAATGAAGATCATTATCAAGATCCAATTGGAGTGTAATGCCATATCAGAATATTCATTTGTAGGAAAAGTTTTAGTTATAGGTAGAAATCACACAATGTGCTGGGAATCATGTGATATATACTTACCCCCAGCAGTGTTTAGGGGTTCACATAACCCTTTTGTTCTGGTACAGGTAAATTTCTATAATCTTGCCATTGTTACCTTCCTTTCTTCCAAGAGGTGAATAGTAGCAGATGGAGAGGATTATATAGGGAACCACATTTACCAAGAGTGTGCAGATATACCCAAGAATAGTCTGGCAAAACTCAGAGATTCAAAGTACAGTTGATGCTCTGCATGGCCATGATTGCCATGGGGTTAATTAATTCTACTTTGACCAAGATTATGTGTTGCTTCTATGTATCTAAACTTCAATGTAAAAAAACAGTCTCCTTAAGATGGCCAACTGGGTGAACCATATTTTTTACCTTGTTTTCAGAAGGAAGGCTTACTCTAGAAGTACCCTAAAGTATCATTATAAATGGTTTTGCTTTTTCTTTATTAGGAGTTTCAATCATGACTTCTGTTCATTCTTGGCCAAGGTACCTGCTGGCACTAATAACTTTATTATTAATGTCGCATAGGTACTGACCTTTCTGGTAGTCCTGCTCATTCATGTTTTTTGCGGTACGCGGGCCTCTCACTGCTGTGGCCTCTCCCGTTGCGGAGCACAGGCTCCGGATGCGCAGGCTCAGCGGCCATGGCTCACGGGCCCAGCTGCTCCGCAGCATGTGGGATCTTCCCGGACCGGGGCACGAACCCGTGTCCCCTGCATCGGCAGGCGGACTCCCAACCACTGCGCCACCAGGGAAGCCCCCTGCTCATTCTTTTAAAGGATTTTTTGGTTTTACATTTTCTTTCTAATTTTTCAAGCAATGGCTATATGCTTTTCTTCTTGATCCTTTAAAAGAATATTGTGTCATCTGTATATTACTATTGAATTATGAATGTGTGCAGAAATGTTTACTAGAGAACTTTCTATGCACGTGCTCACACACACACACACACACACATACACATGCACACACACGCACACACCAGTATACCCTTTCTTACAAATGACTTTGTGACTGGTTTCTGCGTTGCGTGGGACCCCAGGTATCTCCCATCCCAGACAAATGGCTGAGGTGCTTTGATATATTGATTGTTAACATCCAGCAATTGGGGGAGTACAACAGCAATGAGGCTGAAAGAATATTTGGTTGTTGCATTCCTTTGCTTTAATCTGCTTTGATAAATATTCTCCAAAATAGCCTTGTACTTTTTTGAATACTTTAAACTTTTAATTGGACTCAGAAATTATATACTTAGTCATATATTCATAATTTTTTTCACTTTATGCCAGAAGTAGTTACATGGCATTAATCTTATGAGATGTGTGTTTAATTTCAATTTTTAACCTACTTGACAATTTCATTTAGGTCAGCCTTTGTCAGTACCATGTAAATACATGGTACAAATAAATAGAAACCATTTTACTTGCATACGCAAATTAAATATATAAGTTAAGTAGAAGATGGGCAAATTTATGATGTGTCTACCCCCTATGCCATTTGAGTTTGCTTTTGTTTGTATACTGGATGCTTTTCTGACACCGTATGTTTAACTTTTTTATAACACTTTTCTGTTACCACTCAGCTCTGTCAAATCCTTACATTTTGCCATACTTATTTCTGAATTTTAAAAAGAAGTACACATCACACACATTGCAGATATGGTTAAAGGTCCCTTTAGTTGCTCCTCTCCTGCTCCAGAGGTGTCTGCTGACCTGAATTTAGGTTCATCATTGCCAGACCACATCCTAAGCTAGCATTTCAAAATTTCACAGATTGGTCTTTTGAGGGACTTGGAAGTATTCTGAGAAAAAAAAAGGCTTGCGGTCAGATTTTCACCTACAGATTTGTAATACCTATTGAAAGCACTGAAGGCTCTCAGACATGAAAAGAAACTTGTCAATTTTTAAAATTCAGCATTGCCCAGCTATTTGACCGGAGAAACCCTTCACCCATGATTCTGTGCACTGTTGTTGCTTGGAATATGCTTTGTGTAAACACTGCCTAGAGGTGTACTCTTTCCAAAATTTATTTTCCATTTAATTTTATAGTTTTTTACTAATGTAACTTTCTAGATTTAAATGACAAAGATAGTAATTAATTCCAGTTGATGTTCAGTGTTGGATCAAATTTAAAATCATTCTGCAAAAAAGGAAGGTAAAAATGTTAATAAATTGCATATTCATTGACCAACATACAAGTTGCTTATGCTCCTTAATTTTTTAAATTCTTGATTCCGCTGACCTACTGAAGTGTTTGGCTATGGACCATGGCTACACATACCCTTTGCCTTGAACTGATCTGTTACATTTTATGTTCTTGTGGCTGGAAGTAGCTTGAGTTTGTTAATGTTTGACGCACTTTCTTGAATAACAGTTCTTCAGCTGTTAATGTTGTACAAGGTGGCGCTTAAATTTTGTTTGCTTTTTTTCCTTCCTGTATTAGAAAATCTTGGTGCTTTTTGTAAGCTATGTATAAAAGAAATTTTCCTTAAGATTTGTTCGTATAATGGTCTGATCCAGGAAAAATAAAATGGGAAAATGGACACTATTTCTGACCTTCAAATAAAACTCTGTATCTTGATTTTCAGACTGTTCACCGAGCCTTGGGGGCATATGCATTGTCTTAAGGCAGGGCTGTTTACCTGTGTGGGATGATAGGTTCCTTAGGATCTGGTGAGGCTGTGGAGGAGAGATGAGGTTCTTGAAAAATGCACAGGGGCACAAAGTCTACATACAATTTCACAGAGGCCAGGGAACCTCCTCGGATAAGGGAAGAGTACAAAAACAGACCTTGTTCCCTTGTTGGCTCCTAGCGTTCACTGCACTGCACTACACTTTACGATTCTGAGATTGGAAATTATTAGTCAACAGGAAGACTCCACTTTCTACAAAAGTAAGTCTAGAGCTGTTCGCCAAACAGCTAAGGAGCTAACCATCTATCCTGTTATTCTCAGAATTTTAGGGTTTATTAAGGAGTCTCTGCATTATATTTCTAGGATCTCCTTTAAAAACAACACATTAAGCATTTTGTCATTAGGAAAAATCTTATTGTTTTTTTTTTTTTGCATTCTGCACCTTCCTATTTCAAGCATACTCATGAACATTGTTTTTAAAAGAGGTTTTTTTTCTGTTTTTATTTTGTGGAGAGGATCCCTAAAGCACCTGCATTAATTGTTTGCTGGCTTAATTTCAGTCTATATTCAGAAAACATTTATCCTAAGTATTAACTTTTTTGAAAGTTACTGTACCTGGAGTGTGTGATTCCACAGATACTTCCCCAGTGTTCAATTCTATTTCATTTGGTGGTCACATATTTTAGACGTTGAGCACCCATAATAGGAACCCAATAAATGTTGCTATTGGGCACACTTATTTTGAATTAGTGAACAAGTGAAAGATAGATGAATGTGTGAAAGTATAATCAAGTGGAATAAGTAAAATTACTGTTTACCTCCCCATTTGGTATAAATTCTAATGCACAGTTAATGGTTGCTTTCTGCAAATAATTATGAAATAGTAAGCTAAACAATTCTGGCATGTCAGACACAGGTTAATCCACAAAGCAATGCCACCAGTGTCTCAGAGATGCTAATTCTGTCACTATTCATTTAGCTAGCACCCTGAGGGAATGTTTAGCTAGCAAAGAAATGATGCAGAACTCACTGCCCTCAAAGCTTAAGCTCTGAGAGTAATCCAGTATGGTTAGATTAATTTGGAATTTCTTTGGGTGGAGTTGGGTCATGGTTGCCACATTTAACAGGACCCTGGTCTTCGAAGTCAATCTGGTTACTTCTCAGATAGTTAAAAAGTAATTCTTTTTTATGTGTTTATCTTTAGATTTTACCCCTAAATTCTTTTCTTGTACAGTTCTGAGAGACGGAAAGGTGTGTAGAAGTTTGCCTTCTACACCCTCAGTTACATTTGAGCAAGCAAAATTTGATAAGTGAAACAAAACACAAGGACCTCTTCTGCCACTTCATTTGGATGTTATATTTAGTGAGGTGAAGGGAAGATTGGAATGGGAAGAAGGCAGTCCTGGCCACCTCTGGCCACTGGCCTAAACCCTTTTAGGCCTCAGTTTTCTCTTGTAAAAATTACAAGGCTGTATAACTTTGTAGGTCTTCACTAGCTCAAGTATCAATTGAAGGTAATTTTTTTGTTGTTGCTATTCATTGTGTAACTGAGATAGGGAATAAAAATAATGTGATTATGGAAATTCAAGGAGAAACTTTCTTTAAAATGTCTAATTACAGTCTAAATCAGTGTTGTCTAATAGGACTTCTTGAGATGATGGAAATACTCTGTGTTTATGCTGTCCAGTATGCTAGCTGTTAGTCGCAGGTGGTTGTTGAGCACTTGCAATGTCGCTTGTGTGACTGAGTGACCTAATTTTTAATATAAATTAAAACACTTAAATAGCCACAGGTGGCTAATAGCTACTATATTGAACAGTGCAGGTTAAGTTCTTAAATATTTATAAGCATTCAAAGGGAATGTCATGTGTAGATTTATCATGACAGTCTTGTTTTTTATTTGATGATTTTGGCAGTTGGGATATTTTAGAATTTGGCAGTTGTACCTCCAAGCCTCAATATTGAAATCTTTCTTTAAGCATAGCCTCCATTTCTAGTTGCAGTATGGCCGAGCTACTTGTTACCTTTCCTGGGGATCCTAGAGTTTTTACTTGGTAACTCTGTGCCAACATCACTGGCTTCTTAAAGCTCTGCCATCCTACTAAGGATTGTATGTGTTTACTACAATCTACCTTTAGACTCCTGTCAGTCCCCTGCAGGGCTCCACGTTTTCCTGTGTTAGGCTTTATAGTATCTGGAGGAGGTTGGGTGGTGCTGAGAGTTGTATCTTTGTATTTTTTATGGGCTTGATTCTGAAACGTTTAAATGCCACTTTAAAAAATACTTGGTCTTTCATTGGCAAGAAGTTTTCAGTCCTAAAATCTTGAGCCATTAGCAAGATGTTTTTAGTACTAAAATATCTAGGTCAGTAGGCCAATCAAAAACAGTTGTCACATGAATGAATTTTCCATTAAGTCTGTGTTAATTGCTTTAGCACTGCAGATACTACAGTCTTAAAATTTCCATGTTTGGGGGTAACAAAGAACTTTGAATGATTCTATGCTGAAATTCTGGACCTTTGAAATGATAAAAATTGTTGTAAAGGCGTTCTTTAGGGTTAATGGTTGAAATTGATAAGCCATGTGTTTGGGACTCAGTCATTTTTCTATGAGATAATAATTTATATAAGATTAAGTTTTTATATATAGCATGCCAGGTCACAAAACCCATGTTATCCTTGAAACTTAGTTCAGCCATAGCGAGTCCAAGAGCTTTCAACGAAAACTTTCATTCCCACTGAGGTTCTGAAGCACATCTTCCTGGGACCGCAGGCGCTGGTTAGTTCTGTATCGACAAACACAGGCGCTAATTGATGGCAGTCAGTCCCTTGAGTTTTGAATAGAGGGAAACCAAAGCCAGTTGACATTAAGTAAAGTAATAAAAGCGCATGTTAAAAACTTCAAGCAGTACAGAAGAGTAAATGACTTCTTCTTATTCCCATACCATTTCTTCTCCCTAAAAAACTATTAACAGCTTAAGTTTTCTTTTTTCCAAATGGGGCTAAATTACACCTTGCT